AACTTGAATTGAAAAACTGAAAAATCGAAGCACTGAAAAGTTAAAAAATTGAGAAATGGGAAAATCAAAAAATGGATTCGATTTTTGACTCCTGGATTTTTCATTTCAGTTCTTCGATATTTCAATTTTTCAAGTTTTCGAATTTTCCAAATATTTCGATTTCTTAATCTTTTGATTTTTCGACTTCCCGGTTTTAGATTTTCTGTTTTTCAATTGTCATTTTATCAAATTTTCGATTTTTTAATTTTTCAAATTTGACTTTCATAAACTCTCAATTTTTCGATTTTTCAATTAATCGATGTTTTGGTTTTCCCATTTCTTGACCTTCGAGTGTTTCGATTTTCCTGTTCTTCAATTCTTTAATTTTTTTATTTTTCAGGTTTTTGATTTTTCGATTTTTTAAGGTTTCTAATTTTCGACTTCACTTTTTTGATTTTTCGATTTTTCAGTTTTTAGATATTTCAGTTTTAGGATTTTTCAATATTTCAATTCTTCGGCTCTTCTATTTTTGACTTCTGGATTTTTCGATGTGTCTACCTTTTTACTTTTTCGACTTTTCAATTTTTGGATTTTTAAATTTTAGATTTTTCAATCTTTTGATATTTTAATTTTTCAATATTTCTTAATCTTTCGATTTTTCGACTTCCTGGTTTTAGATGTTCTATTTTTCAATTTTTCGATTTTTCAGTTTTTCAATTTTTTATTTTGGCTTATTTCGGTTTCTCAGTTTTTCCAGTTTTCCATTTTTTTCGTTTTTTGATTTTTCCGCTTTTCCAATTTTTCAACATTTAATTTTTTGTTTGTCGATTTCTCTATTTTTCAATTTTTCGACTGCATCACTTTTCGATTTCTCGTTCTTTTGATCTTTCCATCTCCCAATTTTTCAATTTTTCGAATTTTTAAGTTTTTTGATTTCTCGATTTATCGAGATTTGGATTTTTCCTTATTTTGATTGTCAATTTCTCAATTTATAAATTGTTCAATTTTTAATTTTTCGATTTTGGCCTATTTCGGTTTCTCAATTGTTCCGACTTAAGGACTTAATTTTTTTAAGGTTTCAATTTTTCGACTTCACTTTTTGGATTTTTCTATTGCTCAATTTTTCGACTTTTTAGGTGCTCAGTTTTTGGAAATTTCAGTTTTCGGATTTTTCAGGTTTTCCATTTTTCAGTTTTGCCCGGTTTTAGATTTTCTGTTTTCAATTGTCCTTTTAAATTTTTCGATTTTTCAATGATTTTATTTCCCGATTTAGTTTTCCATTTTTAGTTTTTCTTTCATTCTTCAGTTTTTAGATATTTCAGTTTTAGGATTTTTCAATATTTCAATTCTTCGGCTTTTCTATTTTTGACTTCTGGATTTTTCGATGTGTCTACCTTTTTACATTTTCGATTTCTCAATTTTTCGATTTTAAAATTTTATCGACAAATTGGTTGTATCGAAAAGTCGAAAACTGGAAGTCGAATAATAGAAAATTTGAAAAATTGAAAAATGGAAAAACGATAACACGAAAATTCAAAACATTTAATTGAAAAACTGAAAAATCGAAACACTGAAAAGTCAAAAAAATTGAGAAATGGGATAATAAAAAATCGATTAATTGAGAAATTAGGAAATCGTAAAAATGAACATTTAGAAACGTTATAAACTGAAAAATTGAAACATCCAGAAATGCAAAAGTTGTCAAAATTAAATTAAGTATTGAGAAATTGAGAAATTGAAAACTTGAAAAATCAAGAAATCTAAAAAACCAAAAATTTGAAAAATTTTAAAAGTAGAAAAACCGGATCATCAAAAAATCAAAACATTAAAAAATTGTAAAAACGAAAAATTGAAACATCAAAAAACTGAAAAATCAAAAATTTTAAAATCCGCAACATTGAAAAATATATCGGAGAACTGAAAAATCGACAAATCGAAATGTCTAAAATTAAAAAAATTGAAAAAAATCGAAAAATGGAAATTTCAAAAATTTTAAATTCGTAAAATTGAAAAAGGGAAAACCGAGAAATCGAAATTGAAACAATCGAAAAAATGAAAAATCGAGAATTTGAAAAATTGAAACATCAAAAAAATAAAAAATCGAATAACCGAATAGCCGAAAACTAGAAAAATCGAAAATTTGAGAAATCGAAATGGGTCAAAACTGAAAAAATAGAAAAATTGAAAAACAGAAAAATCAAAGAACTGACAAATCGAAAAATAGAGAAACCGAAAAATGTAATGTCTTCATAATTGAAAAATTAAAATTTGGAAAAATTGAAAATTGAAAAATCGACAAATCAAAACAAAAAATCGAAAAATTGAAAAATCTAATATTTTAAAATTCAAAAACTAAAAAAACGAAAAAATAAAAAACTGAGAAATCGAAAAGTCTAAAAATGGAAGTCGAATAATAATAATAGAAAATTTGAAAAATCGAAAATGGAAAAACGGAAACCCGGAAATTCGAAAACTTGAATTGAAAAACTGAAAAAACAAAGCACTGAAAAATAAAAAAATTGAAAAGTGGGAAAATCAAAAATCGATTCGATTTCTGACTCCTGGATTTTTCATTTCAGTTGTTCGATATTTCAATTTTTCAAGTTTTCGAATTTTCCAAATATTTCGATTTCTTAATCTTTTAATTTTTCGACTTCCCGGTTTTAGATTTTCTGTTTTTCTATTGTCATTTTGTCAAATTTCCGATTTTTTAATTTTTCAAATTTGACTTTCATAAACTCTCAATTTTTCGATTTTTCAATTAATCGATGTTTTGATTTTCCCATTTCTTGACCTTTGAGTGTTTCGATTTTCCTGTTCTTCAATTCTTTAATTTTTTTATTTTTCAGGTTTTTGATTTTTCGATTTTTTAAGGTTTCTATTTTTCGACTTCACTTTTTGAATTTTTCTATTGCTCAATTTTTCAACTTTTTAGGTTCTCAATTTTTGGAAATTTCAGTTTTCGGATTTTTCAGGTTTTCCATTTTTCAGTTTTTCTCGGTTTTAGATTTTCTGTTTTCAATTGCCCTTTTAAATTTTTCGATTTTTCAATGATTTTATTTCCCGATTTAGTTTCCCATTTTTAGTTTTTCTTTCATTTTTCAGTTTTTAGATATTTCAGTTTTAGGATTTTTCAATATTTCAATTCTTCGGCTCTTCTATTTTTGACTTCTGGATTTTTCGATGTATCTACCTTTTTACTTTTTCGATTTTTCAATTTTTGGATTTTTATTTTAATTTCTCAATATGTATTTCTTAATCTTTCGATTTTTCGAATTCTTGGTTTTAGATGTTTGGTTTTTCAATTTTTCGATTTGTTAATTTTTCATTCCCGATTTATTGAGATTTGATTGTTCAGGTTTTCGATTTATCAGTTTTTCAATTTTTTATTTTGGCCTATTTCGGTTTCTCAGTTTTTCCAGTTTTCTATTTTTTCGTTTTTTGATTTTTCCGCTTTTCCAATTTTTCAACTTTTAACTTTTTGTTTGTCGATTTTTCTATTTTTCGACTTCATCACTTTTCGATTTCTCGTTCTTTTGATCTTTGAATTTCTCAATTTTTCATTTTTTCGAATTTTGACCTCGAGATTTGGATGTTTCGATAGTTTGATTGTCAATTTCTCAATTTATAAGTTATTCAATTTTTAACTTTTCGATTTTTCGATTTTGGCCTATTTCGGTTTTTCAATTGTTCGACTTTTCGACTCCACGATTTCTTGATCTTTTGATTTTTCGATTTTTCAGTTATCCGATTTTTTAAATTTGGGAGTTTCGTTTCTCGATTTTTCGTTATTCGGTTTTTAAATTTTAGATTTTTGAATTTTACATTCAGTTTACTTATTATTCAATTTTTCGATCTTACGATTGTGCAGGTTTTTGATTTTTCAATTAATCGATGTTTTAGTTTTCCCATTTCTCGACCTTCGAATGTTTCGATTTTCTTGTTCTTCAATTCTTTAATTTTTTTATTTTTCAGGTTTTTGATTTTTCAATTTTTCGATTTTTTAAGGTTTCTATTTTTCGACTTCACTTTTCTGATTTTTCGATTTTTCAGTTTTCGGATTTTTCAATATTTACATTCTTCGGCTTTTCTATTTTTGACGTCTGGATTTTTCGATGCGTCTACTTTTTTACTTTTTAGATTTTTCAATCTTTTGATATTTTAATTTTTCAATATTTCTTAATCTTTCGATTTTTAGACTTCCTGATTTTAGATGTTCTGTTTTTCAATTTTTCGATTTGTTAATTTTTCATTCCCGATTTATCTAGATTTAATTGTTCAGGTTTTCGATTTATCAGTTTTTCAATTTTTTATTTTGGCCTATTTCGGTTTCTCAGTTTTTCCAGTTTTCCATTTTTTCGTTTTTTGATTTTTCCGCTTTTCCAATTTTTCAACTTTTAACTTTTTGTTTGTCGATTTCTCTATTTTTCGGACTTCATATATGTTTTATTGGCATCGACTATTTAAATTTGGCGCTGTCAATGTCAATAAGGGTGGTTTTGCAAAATCAGCCTGTATGCCGCATCTATATTACTACCAACCTACGTTATTGTTTAGATATTGTTGTGTAGGTATTTTAGGTTTCTTAAGTTGCTAAAAATGGTGGAGGCGCCGGACGAATGCATTTTTATCCATTAATGGAAAAAGTGTGAATACTAATCATAAATTCGTTATTTTGAGTTTATTTCAGACCACTCTGGAGCGATTTGAGCACTTTAATGTGATATTAAATAAATGCGTATATGCAACCCATTATACACATAATTGACACACCTGGAAACAAACGGAGTTAGAATAGATCTGATTAAAAACTTTTAATTTAGAGTTGGCTGCGACTACTGTCGTGGACTTGAGTGATCTAAGAATGACTTACCTGTCATATGGTACATCGTTCACTAATGAATTTGTTTATTTTTAAAATCATGCCGAGTCGGTCGTATAGCCGAACTCCGGCGAAAACAACAGCCAGTGTACTAAGCTGCTGCAGGACAAGTGATGGTATTGATGGTACAAGCAATGCATAATGGTTGTATCTGCTTTACTCATCAGAATTTCTTCTTATAATTATTAAAAATAATTTACAAACTATAAGTTGTACATTTAGTTTCGTAGCCTTCTCGTAAATAACACGAACTAAATTAGAGCAATGGCAAATCTAAGATACAAATAAGGTATAGTAAAAAATAACGCCTAAAATAAACAGATCATTGACGTCTTGTCATTACAAACAACACAGTAACACATAACTAAACATAACTTCGAATCAGGGTCCGCCCCAACTTAGTCATAAAATTCCAACGAACAATTTGAAAAATCTCCTCGCTAACTACATATAAAAAACAGCCTCTTCGCCGCCAAAGCTGCCAATTATCAAAATTTACTGGCCTTCCTCAAAGTCAACAAGGTACAAGTGCAGTCTGCGATATCGTTTGAGGAACTTTTTGTACAAAAATATTTTTCCAAGTAATAATCACAATATCCTCCTCTCTCACAACCAAAACACAACAAACCGCGCAACACATGATAACGACTAGTGTGTCATCGACACAACAAGCGATTATTTGTATATGAAACCAGATAACCCTTAAATTTAGGAAGAACGGTGGAAGATGTATTAAATGTAAGTGTATCTCGGCTTAGGTAAGTCCCCGAACACGGGGTCCCCGTGCACGCTCTTCGCCAGCGCCTTGATGCTCGCCGCTATGTCCATCGTGCGCTCGACAGGCGGCGCTTCGTCCACGTCCTCGAAGCCGCGATTCCGCGCCTGCGACAGGAACGCGGGGATCGTCATCGGCAGCGACTTGGCGATGGCGTTACCGGTGCTCCCCCGCTTCGGAATTTTCACGCCGTCTTCGCGGTTCGCGTCGTCCAGGTCGCTCTCTTCGATCTCCGAGCCGGTGCCCGAATGGACGTCGTCGGTGCCCTCCAGCTCGAAGAGGCCCTCGCTGTCGAACGAGCTGAGGTGGTGGCCAATGGGACAGCTCTTCTGGCGCTTGGGGGTGTGTCGGTGGGCGGGGCTCGCCTGCGTGCAGAAAAAACACTTTACAACACCCCTAAAAATCAAAATCATACACAAACTTACAGAGGCGCTCGGACTCGAAGCCAGTTTCACACTCCCGGCATCTAAAGGTTCGTTCAGTCTGGATGGCATCCCTTGCGGATTGGACATGCCCGAATTTGTACTTGCAGGTTTCGCGTTGTTCAAAGTGTTATTTAGAATAACCCTGGAACGAGAATTTCGACTCGACGTCAGAACGCTTCATCGCAACAACAAGCAGTGATAAGAGAGCAATAAAAGCCGGTTGGCTTGTAGTTAAAACGAGCCTTTCGTTATATTTAGCGTCGAGTGATAACGATATCTTGTTAAAAATTTTATAATAGCTACATAAACAATGAGATAATAATAATCCGGATGGAGAGCGTCAACAACTTGCAAAGTTTAATTTTGGAGAGGCGAATTTTGAACGGGTTTTCATTTCCTTGAACTGACTGATAAACACAAAAATTAAAATCGGGCAAAACAACCTACAACGATAAGATAAAGAATGAAATTCTAACATGCTTTTTTGTTGTTGGAAACTGGTAAGCTTGTCCGTGTTTACTCGCTAAATCGTAAAATATATTAATATTAAACGTGTGGAAACTAGATCCAATTTGAATGCTAATCGAATTATATAAATAGAAACGTCCTTCAACAACTCTGCTCCTGAATAAAATTTCAAACCGTGAATTAACGATAAACAAAACTAAATAAATATTTTAAGAAATAATCGTTTTGTAAAAATGCTTTGATAAATGTTAAGTGATACATCAACAATATTAATTTGACTTTGGCTACGTCACCGAGGCTGTATTCAGGTCATTTCAATTTATTTTAAACAGTAACCCTTATTTTCATTGAGCGTCAGAGATAAAAATTCGTTAAAATAGTTTTGGATTACTTAATAACTGCTATTTTTATAATCAAGGAAAAATTGCCTTGGACACAGCGCCACCTAGCACATCGGCTACCAAAAAATACGATTCCCGCCAATGCGAACTTACAAAGAAAACAATAGAGGGCGCCACTTAATTAATGAAAAAACAAAAGTTAAGATCAATAACAGCTATGAGAAACAACACTAACATCCAGCTTTATTGCTTATCAAATAAAGTACATTTAATGCATTTTTGAAGTGTTTATACGTGTTTAATTTTTCGGGTTGGATAAATATTATTTTAAGCATTGAGGATTTATCACGTTATTTGCTTCGACAATTTACGTCAGTGGGATCAACGTATTATAGTTTAATCAAAAAATCAAAACATTGCCACTATCGTCTTCCTTAAAGTTTCCATATATTCGTTCTCGTAAATTACTTCAATTAAAATTTGTTTTCTTGTCAACTCGTATTTTACTTTGAATAATTACCTTAAAGTGGAATTTTTTGGCATTTGACGGACGATCTGTCAATCTGTCACGACAAAGTTAGTGGCGCCATCTATTTTAAGTTTCTAAATGAGCGGCCTCTTAACGTGCTAAAAACTTAAAAAACGACGATTATAAAGCCAACATAAATGAAATTAAGTTAAATTTGGTTGGTGTTGCCAACATCACGATTTTAAAAATAAATTGCACGGCCTACTAGTAGTTTTTTTTTTGACAGTTGAAGTGTGTGTAATAAAATGACTGGTACCTTGTTAAAATTTGTTGTTCTCTAAAGGCCCTCTCCCTCAAGTCGCTCAATTTGCTGTACTGCTCATCACTGAACTGCCGTATCCTCTCCTCGACTCTCAGTGCTTCAGTCTTGAGCGAGTCAGCAGCGACTTGCTTCAGTCCCTTAATAACATTCTCAACATCGTTTGGTAAATCTAAACAACAATACACATGATGACTCTATGAAAGCTCGTATTAGTAAAAAAAAAAAGACATGTTAGTCCGCCGATCAGTCGCCCCCACTTACATGAATTGGCGGTCAGCACGTCGTCGACGATGTCGTCAGAATTGATAACAATTTTGTACAATTTAGAGAAGCTGTTGCTCGTCCGCAGCTTGTCTATGACTTCCTTGCTCTGCAACGAACACTAATTAGCAAATTGCTGGCTCGACTCCCCCCTACTTACAAACAGTTTGGAGTTGACCAGCACGCAGGAAGCACCCTTGTCTCGGTGTACTGCATGCGAATGAACATCACAATTAATACAACAATGAATAACCCAAGAGCCTACATTTCTAGTTTGAATCAAGCCGGAGTGACTTTTATTAATGTTTACTAATTTCTCGACTTGCCGAACGTCCTATAAAAATAAACACAGTTGGCCACGACCTGTCAAAACTGTCAACCGCCTGTCCCCCTGTCATACCTTGAAGAAGCCGTCCTGGACCTCCTCCCCAGACAAGCCCAACGTTTCGGCCGTGACCTTCTGCAAGTCACCTTCGGTTTCGATTATCACGTTCAGGCAATGGCACGACAACATGGTTTGCGACAGCAAAAAACTGCGACTATGTACAAGGCTACTGCGATCGACGAGACGCAAAACAATCGCGAATCGCGATACCACAGCTGTTGGTGGGGACCAGCAGCCGGCCGCTGTTTGCGGAAATGGCCGAAAATATTACGTAATTGGGGAGGGTTGCGCGAGGACGAGGGCGAGGAGGGCGGCTGTGGGCACTGGGGGGCGCGTTTTCGCCGGAAAACTTGTGCGTGATGAATGGCGAGGGATGAAGAGAACACAACACAAAGAACGACGGCGGTGTAGAGACCAGCAGGAGCAGCGGCGTGCGAAACGACGGACGGGGGGGAGCGCGTGCGCGGTATATTCGCCGATAAAACAGATGTCGACAAACGCGCCAAAAAGATCCCTATGAATAATTAACAATTAAAAAAAAAACAAAATATAATAATTGATTGACATAAATTATAATGGTCAAAAACCGCCAGACGAACAAGAAAAACAACTCGTCTACCAAGCAGTGAACTTTAGTGTTAAAAAACTAATGTTGGTAGTACTTACGCGTTTCTTGCTCGGTTTGACAGTTATGGCCAATCAAAGTACCTAGATTAGTACTAATTTAGGGACTTTGTCGTCAAATAACTGTCAAATAGCTGGACATCATTATTTTAAAAATAAATTGTGTAGATTATTAGACGACTTTTCGATCATGTGGTATTAATGAAGTCAGGTCAGGTCAGATTAGATCAGGTCAGGTCAGATCGGGTCAAGCTCTTAAAAAAATAACAACGGCAAGTGTGTGATGTCTCGATTTCACATTTTTTTCATTTTTCAGTTTTTCCAGAAGAATAAGTCATCTGCCAAACTCAATCTTATCTTGGCAAGTACTAGACAGAATTGCCAACACAAAAATTTACTTCAATCATTAATAAATTCCAGGTCATTCTGTCTGTCCACTCCCCAAGTAAATTTTGAACAATTGGAAAATTGATGGGTGTAAGGTGTTTTTCAAACTTCAGGAAAGAATGAAGAAAAATTTATGTGACGTTACAACGGAATGAAATTTTGTATTTTTTTCAAAAAAAAAAGCAGTAACTGAAATTTACTGAATCACTTAAACTCGAAAAGGATGTTTTCCAACCTGAAATTTTCTCAGGAAAATGAATTTGTGGTTATTTTCGTCGTAGTGCTTCTAATAACGGAAATAAACGTGTTTTTAAATAACAAATCATAATTTGGCTTGGTTCAGATCAATGACAGGTGGTTATTTTCTTTAAAATATCAAGATAAATTTAAAGAAACACTTGATTTCTCCCAAAATATCTAATAGGTAGTATCTAAACGTTTCTGAAAAGTTCCCATTTATCGATTGCCCAACGTCTCGATTTCTCGATTTTTCAGTTTTCAATTTCTGGGTTTATTGAGATTTCCGTGTTTTTATTTTTCGATTGTTCAATTTCCCGAATTTTCCATTTTTCAATTTTATGGTTTTTCGATTTACCGGTATTCTAATTTATCGATATTTGGACTTTTCAATTTTTCGATTTACCCATTTTTGGTTCAATTTTTCGATTTTTTATTTTTTAATTTTCTGATGTATCGATTTCACAATTTTTTTCATTTTTCGATTCTTCAGTTTTTCTAGGTCGATTTTTTAAATTTTAGATTTTTCACTTTTTGATGATTTTTTTGATCTCCCGATTTTTCGATTTTTCATTTTTTTAAATTTGCCAATTTTTCAATTTTCGATTTCTCGATCTTTTCATGCTTCGATTTTTCTTGTTTTAGGTTTTTCGATTTACCAATCTTCCAATTTCGACTTTTTCTAATTTCTCGATTTTTCAGTTTTTCAATGTTATTGATTTTTCGACTTCTCGGTTTTTCGATTGGAATTTTTTAATTTTTTAATCTTTCGATTCTTCATTTTTTCGACATTTTGATTTTTCCATTTTTTAAATTTTAGATTTTTCAAAATTTCGGTTCGAATAAATTTGTCCTTTTAGTAAAAAAATCGAAAAATGACAAATCGTGAAAAGGAAAAATTTTAAATTGAGAACTTATCAAAAAATTGCAAAATTGTAAAGTTAAAAATTGAAAAATCAAAAGATTCGAATCAAAAAAAGCAAAATTGTCAAACAAATTATCAAATGAAATATTCAAAAGTTGAAAAATCTAAAAACTCAAAAAAATTGGAAACTGGAATTCCGAATTCGATTTTATAAGATTTGTTTTTTTTTTCAATGTATCGATATTTCAATTTCTGATTTTCCGATTATACAGTTGTACAATTTTCCGATTTCTCATTTATCCGATTTTTCAACTTGTCGATTTTTAATTTTTATTAATTTTTTTTTATAATTTTAGAAGAATAAGTCATCTGCCAAACTCAATCTTATCTTGGCAAGTACTAGCCCCACCCACCCACCCTTATTTTCTTAGGGGACATATCATTTGCCAAAATCAGTCTCATCTTGACAAGTGATAGCTGTACTTTTAATTAATTTAGTTAGATTACAACGCTGCCAACCGTATTAACAAAACCCTAGACAGGGCAAGATAACCAACCTTTTTTTTATCACCTGAACAGACAGAAGCGGCCTGAACTTTGCTCACACTGTGCTTTAGTTAGGTACCGAGTCAACGTTTGTGATTTTTTTGTTAAGTTGGCAACATACCAAAAATTTTACGAATGCTTATCTGACCATCAAATTGACATTTATGACACCAAGGCAGTAGCTGTCATCGTCTCAACCAATCAACAAGTTTATTAAGGGTGCTAAGGTCACAATAGACAATTGTGAACTGACAGACTAGCATGACTGCCAATAATTCAGAATTGCCAACACAAAAATTTGCTTCAATCATTAATAAATTCCAGGTCATTCTGTCTGTCCACTCCCCAAGTAAATTTTGAACAATTGGAAAATTGATGGGTGTGAGGTGTTTTTCGGACTTCATGAAAGAATGAAGAAAAATTTATGTGACGTTACAACGAAATGAAATTTTGTATTTTTTTCCAAAAAAAGCAGTAAATGAAATTTACTGAATTACTTTGACTCGAAAAGGATGTTTTCCAACCTGAAATTTTCTCAGGAAAATAAATTTGTGGTTATTTTCGTCGTAGTGCTTTTAATAACGGAAATAAACGTGTTGTTAAATAACAAATCATAATTTGGAAAATCGATTCGAAAAGGGGTCTTTGGCTTGGTTCAAATCAATGACAGGTGGTTATTTTCTTTAATATATCAGGATAAATTTAAAGAAACGCTTGATTTCTCGATTTTTCAGTTTTCGGTTTCTGGGTTTATTAAGATTTCGGTGTTCTTGTTTCCCGAATTTTCCATTTTTCAATTTTATGGTTTTTCGATTTACCGATATTCTAATTTATCGATATTTGGACTTTTCAATTTTTCGATTTACCCATTTTTGGTTCAATTTTTTGATTTTTTATTTTTTGATTTTCTGATGTCTCGATTTCGCATTTTTTTCATTTTTCGGTTCTTCAGTTTTTCCAGGTCGATTTTTTAAATTTTAGATTTTTCACTTTTTGATGATATTTTGATCTTCCGATTTTTCGATTTTTAATTTTTTTTAATTTGCCAATTTTTCAATTTTCGATTTCCCGATATTTTCACGTTTCGATTTTTTTTTTAGGTTTTTCGATTTACCAGTATTCCAATTTCGACTTTTTCTAATTTATCGATTTTTCAGTTTTTCAATTTTTTGATTTTTTGACTTCTCGGTTTTTCGATTGGAATTTTTGAATTTCTGGATTTTCCCATCTTTCGGTTCTTCATTTTTTCGGCGTTTTGATTTTTCCGTTTTTTAAATTTTAGATTTACCAATTTTTCTATTTTTCGATTATGCAGTTACATTTTGAATTTTTGGATTTTTCGATTTTTCAAAATTTCGGTTCGATTAAATTTGTCCTTTTAGTTAAAAAATCGAAAAATGACAAATCGTGAAAAGGAAAAATTTTAAATTGAGAACTTATCAAAAAATTGCAAAATTGTAAAGTTAAAAATTGAAAAATCAAAAGATTCGAATCAAAAAAAGCAAAATTGTCAAACAAATTATCAAATGGAATATTCAAAAGTTGAAAAATCTAAAAACTCAAAAAAATTAAAACTGGAATTCCGAATTTGATTTTATAAGATTTGTTTTTTTTTTCAATATATCGATATTTCAATTTCTGATTTTCCGATTATACAGTTGTACAATTTTCCGATTTCTCATTTATCCGATTTTTCAACTTGTCGATTTTTAATTTTTATTATTTTTTTTTTTATAATTTTAGAAGAATAAGTCATCTGCCAAACTCAATCTTATCTTGGCAAGTACTAGCCCCACCCACCCACCCTTATTTTCTTAGGGGACATATCATTTGCCAAAATCAGTCTCATCTTGACAAGTGATAGCTGTACTTTTAATTAATTTAGTTAGATTACAACGCTGCCAACCGTATTAACAAAACCCTAGACAGGGCAAGATAACCAACCTTTTTTTTATCACCTGAACAGACAGAAGCGGCCTGAACTTTGCTCACACTGTGCTTTAGTTAGGTACCGAGTCAACGTTTGTGATTTTTTTGTTAAGTTGGCAACATACCAAAAATTTTACGAATGCTTATCTGACCATCAAATTGACATTTATGACACCAAGGCAGTAGCTGTCATCGTCTCAACCAATCAACAAGTTTATTAAGGGTGCTAAGGTCACAATAGACAATTGTGAACTGACAGACTAGCATGACTGCCAATAATTCAGAATTGCCAACACAAAAATTTGCTTCAATCATTAATAAATTCCAGGTCATTCTGTCTGTCCACTCCCCAAGTAAATTTTGAACAGTTGGAAAACTGATGGGTGTGAGGTGTTTTTCAGACTTCAGGAAAGAATGAAGAAAAACTTATGTGATGTTACAACGGAATGAAATTTTGTATTTTTTTCCAAAAAAAAGGCAGTAACTGAAATTTACTGATTTACTTAGACTCGAAAAGGATGTTTTCCAACCTGAATTTTTCTCAGGAAAGTGAATTTGTGGTTATTTTCTTTAAAATATCAAGATAAATTTAAAGAAACGCTTGACTTCGCCCAAAATATCTAATAGTATCTAAACATTTCTGAAAAGTTCCCATTTATCGATTGCCCAACGTCTCGATTTCTCGATTTTTCAGTTTTCAATTTCGGGGGTATTGAGATTTCGGTGTTTTTATTTTTCGATTGTTCAATTTCCCGAATTTTCCATTTTTCAATTTTATGGTTTTTCGATTTACCGATATTTTAATTTATCGATATTTGGACTTTTCAATTTTTCGATTTACCCA